GGGGTGAGGGCAGCGGGGTGGAGGCTGGGGGAGGGCAGCGGGTGCAGGTTGGGGGGAGGGCAGCGGGGTGCAGGCTGGGGGTGAGGGCAGCGGGGTGCAGGCTGCGGGAGGGCAGCGGGGTGAGGGCAGCGGGTGCAGGCTGGGGGAGGGCAGCTGGTGCAGGCTGGGGGAGGGCAGCGGGTGCAGGCTGGGGGGAGGGCTGGGGGTGAGGACAGCGGGGTGCAGGCTGGGGGAGGGCAGCGGGTGCAGACTGGAGGGCACAGGTGCCACCGTTGCCCACACACCCTGTCCAGTCCACGCGCTGCATCTGGGCGGAGAGGGGGCCCGTGGAGCCGTTAGACTGAGCACAGATGGGGGTGAGGAGAGACCACGGGTGTGACAGGCCGGGGCGGCCGCTCTTCCTCCTGGGACCCCCGTCAGCCTCGTCCCCGGGAGCAGGCGTTCCCAGGCTCCGGCTACATTGGAGGAGCCCCGTGGGCCCCCAGTGCATTTTATTTTATTTTATTTTATTTTTTTACAGAGAGGAGGGGAGAGGGATAGAGAGCCAGAAACACCTATGAGAGGGAAACATCGACCAGCTGCCTCCTGTACATCCCCCACTGGGGATGTGCTCTCAGCCAAGGTACATGCCCTTGACCGGAATCAAACCTGGGACCCTTCAGTTCGCAGGCCGACGCTCTCTCCACTGAGCACACGGGTTTTGGCCCAAGCTGCATTTTTGAAAAGCTGCTTCCTGGCCGGCCCTTTGGGGCGCCGCCAGCCCTTCCTGGCTCCCCAGCTGGACCTCACGCTCAGGAGAAATAGTCGGGCCATATCTCCAGGCCCCAGAGGGTGGGAGGTCCCCACGGGACTGACGGCCGCGGTGCCCCCCTCCGGCCCCCTCCTTCCTGGCCGGCCACCTGGGCTTGCTCCCCGGAAATGCAGCAGCCGAGATGGCACCTGCAAACCTCGATGCCACTGTGCCCCCTCGGGATGGTGCTGCGGTGAAATCAAACCAGACACACACCCCGACCAGGGGTTTCCTCCCGACTGCCCTCTGAGGTGCCACCTTCCCAGCATGCTCCTGGGCGTGCTGCCAGGCCCACGCCACCCCCTCCAGGTGTAGCCTTCATCGGCCTGGTATCCAGCCAAAGCAGCTCTGGAGAGGGCGGGAGGCCCCGGGCAATGCCCTCTGCCCTCGCCGAGGGTCCTCTCTGGGCACCAGGCCTGCTCCTGCCCCAGCTCAGCCCTCACAACACCCCGAGGGGAAGGTCACTGTTAGACCCATTTCAGAGATGGGGAAACTGAGGCTCGGGGGGCTCATTACCTTGGCAGAGGCAGGGCTGGAGCCCAGGCTGCCCAGAGCCAGGCGCGGGCACCCATGACAGTCCTCCGGGGTCTTTCTCCGGCACCTGGCTGGCTGCCGGGAGTGTCTGTTTGCCCCGGCATCGGGCAGAGGGACACGCCGGAATCTGTGGGTGGGCGGCCGCCTGGGGTGCGGCGGCGAGAGGGGTTCCAGCACGTGTGTGGCCGCTGCCCTGGCTGCTGGGGGGAGCGGTGTGAGCACACATGGCCTGGACCTGCGGCCCATGGCGTGGGTGGTGGTGGTGGGTGGTGGGTGGTGGGTGGAGGCGGGTGGTGGGGTGGGAGGGTGGGTGGCGGGTGGTGGAGGGTGGTGGGTGGCGGGTGGAGACCAGTGGCGGGTGGAAGTGGGTGGTGGGGGGTGGGGGTGGGAGGGTGGGTGGCGGGTGGTGGAGGGGGGTGGGTGGCAGGTGGAAGCGGGGGGTGGGGGGTGGGGGTGGGAGGGTGGGTGGCGGGTGGTGGAGGGGGATGGGTGGCAGGTGGAAGCGGGGAGTGGGGGGTGGGAGGGTGGGAGGGCCGGGGGTGGGAGGGTGGGTGGCGGGTGGAAGTGGGTGGTGGAGGGGGGTGGGTGGCGGGTGGAAGCGGGTGGGGAGTGGGAGGGGTGGGAGGGGGGGTGGCGGGTGGAGGCGGGTGGTGGGGGTGGGTGGTGGGTGGAGGTAGGTTGATAGGTGGTGGTGGGAGAACGCGGTCTGGCACCCTCCACACCCACCACCGCGGGGCCTGCAGTGCCGGCTGTCACTGGGAGGTGGCGCCCTTCCCCAGCGGTTGGAATCGGCGGCTTCTAGGCCTGGGGCGGCCACAGACCCGTGCCCATCAGGAAGCCTCCATAGAGGCCTCCCCGGGGCCACCTCCCCCGCCCCGGCCGGGCAGGGCCCCTCTGGGCGGAGCTCCCTGGCGGCGGGCGGAGCGGAGAGGGTGTCCGCTCCGGTGGCCCCGGCAGGGCCGCCCGCCTCCTGCTCCACGGGAGGAGGCACTGCCCTCCGCGGGGTGCAGGGGGGCGAGGGGGGACCCGCCTCCGCCTGCTCCGCCCGGCGCACCCTCAGCCGGCGCCCGGGCCCGTTAGGAGCCCCCTCCCCGGGCCTCACACCGGGCGGCCCGGCCCCCGAGCGCCCTGCGGAGCTGGGAGGAGGGCCCGGGGCGCGGGGGCTCCGGAGGGCCCCTCCCGGTCCGCCCCGCGGCGGGGCCTCCGCCCCGACTTCTGTGATCGGGCGCGTCTGTCCCCCGCCCCGCCCCGCCCCTCCCGGCCTGCAGGCCCCGCGGCGGGCGCCAGGGGGCGGCAGGGAGCGGCGGGAGGAAAAATCCGCGTCTCCGGGCCGAGCTGAGGCGTCGCCGGCTTGTCCCCGCCTCCCGCCTCCCGCCTCCCGCGGCCCCGCGCAGTCCCGGCGCAGCCGAGCGAGCGGCCTCCCGGCGGCGGCGGCGGCGGCGGCGGCTCCGGCTCCGGCTCCGGCGGCGGGACAAGCGGGGGCGCGGGGGCGCGGTGCGGTCCTCTGCCGGCGGCGCCATGGCCCGGGGCGCGCGGGGCGGCGGGCGGGCGGCGGCGGGAGGCGGCGCGGGGACACGGCCGGTCGCCCCGGGCCGCCGCGGTGGCCGCCGCCTGAGCTGCGGGCCCGGGGACGGGGCGCGGGGCGCGGGGCCGGCGCGATGTCCGTGCCGCTGCTCAAGGTCGGCGTGGTGCTCAGCACCATGGCCATGGTCACCAACTGGATGTCCCAGACGCTGCCCGCGCTCGTGGGCCTCAACTCCACGCGCCTGTCCGCGGCCGGCGGCGCCACGCGGGACCGCAGCACCGGCGTGAGTCCGCCCGAACCCGCTCCCGAACCCCCCAAACCCCTCACCCCCTCCCGAAGCCCCCATCACCCCCGGCCCCCCACCTCCTCCACCCCCCCCGAACCCCCCATCCCACCCCCCTCCCCGGCGGCGCCACGCGGGACCGCAGCACCGGCGTGAGTCCGCCCCCACCCCCTACGAACCCCCAATACCCCCCGGGCCCCCCAACCCCCTCCAAACCCCCCATCCCCACCCCCCGACCCCCAATCCCCCTCGGACCCCCACCCCCCTCCCGGCGGGCGGCGCCGGAGGGAGCGCCGGGCCGGGGCGCGGGAGGGTCGGGCGGCTCCGCGCGCTGCGGGGGACCGCTCCCCGCCCCGGCCCGCGCTCCCGCCGCCGCCCTCCGCCCGCTGCCCGCTCCGCCCGGCCCTCCGGGGGCGCGGGGCTCGGGCTGGGAGCTCGTGGGCGAGGTCAGGGCGGAGGCGGGACCCGGGGACTCGTCCAAGGTCACCCCGCGGGGAGGGTGGGGCGCCCGGACTCTCTGGGGGAGCCCTCCCCCTCGGTGACCCCGGACCACCGGCCAGGCCGCGCCCCAGCCGAGCCGGCGCCCCCCGCCTGCACCCCGAGCCCCGGGCTCTCCTCCGTCCCCGCGCCCAGGGCCCGGTGTGCGTGCGGAGGGGGCACTGTCCCTGGTGCCGCGGGCTGGGCCCCCACTGTCCCCGCGCCCGCCCCCGCCTCCCTCTCCCCCCCACGCCTCCCGCTCGGGGCCGCGGAGGGGCCCTCCGGGCGGGGCTGGCAGGAGGGCCCCGCTGGGGGCGGCTGGGCTGGACCCAGGGAGGGCAGGCGCCCAGGAAGGGGCGCGCCCGGCGCTGGAAGGAGAGGTGAAGGGCACGCGGCTCCCAGCTCCCCCGGCTGCCAGGGGCGCTGAGCCGGGAGGAGGCTGGGGGACCCCCTCCCCAGACCCTCAGGGGCACCTCCGGGTCCGGGCACCCGCAGTGCTTCCGGCTTCCGGCCGCTCCCTCTGCCCGGAGCCGCTGGGCTGGACGTGGACGGGGTGGGTGGACACACTCTCCCTCCACCAACTTCTCCCGCCCCCTCATCCCCCTCCCCCGCAAAAATAACGGGACCTGAGGCTGTGGGGCAACCTGAGGCTGGGGGAGGAGGCGAGGAGGGGACCAGGGGACAGGGAGCCGGCCCGCCCTGGGCACCGGCCGGGGACCACCTGAGCCGCTGCAAGGTGACACCTGCCGGCCCAGCTCCGCTGCCTGGGACTGCCAGGGTGCCGCCGTCACCGGGAACTGGGGACTTCCGCCACCGGCGCGGGTGGCAGCGCATCGGGCGCTGGGGGGACGGGGACGGGCTTTCAGGGCGGCCGGCGCCAGGTGGGCAGGAGGGTGCAGGCTGCGCCCCGGTCCTCGCACCCTGGCTCATAGCGGCTGGTTATGTTAATGGTGAGATGGTGAGACTGATCTCCAGTTCCAGGAGCTGCGGTGAGCGGGCGCCAGCTCCCCTGCGCACCCCTGCCCCCCTGCTCTCCCCCCCTGCCGCCCTCAGGGGGAGATCGTATTTCTCAGCGACGCGCCCACCAGCGGCCTCCTGCCTCCCCCCTCCCAGCCTCGCCCGGCCCCTCCCTCCGCCTAATGGATCGATTTGGTCGGCTGCCAACACGCCACTCTCCGTGAATTTAAGAGACAGCAGACGGCAAACGGCAAACGGCGTGCTGCCGGCCGACCTGCCCCGCCCCGGGCACCCTGACGGGACCCTTTGTTCTTGGGGACGGGCCCCTTCGCGGTCAGAGCGTCCTTAGCCCGGTTCTGTCCGCCCCGCCCGGCTGGCGTGGACAGCCCTCCCCCGTCCTCCCTGCGTCTCACTCTCTCCCCCCGCCCCGCCAGGTGCTGCCCACCAACCCCGAGGAGAGCTGGCAGGTGTACAGCTCCGCGCAGGACAGCGAGGGCCGCTGCATCTGCACGGTGGTCGCCCCCCAGCAGACCATGTGCTCGCGGGACGCCCGCACGAAGCAGCTGCGGCAGCTGCTGGAGAAGGTGAGTCTGCCCAGGGCGTGGGCGTGCACCCGTGTGCGTGTGTGTGTGTGTGCAGGCGCATGTGTTTGTATGTGCACGTGTGCGTGCCCACACCACCGCCGCCACCGAGGCGTGACCAGCCTGCAGGGTCCGTCCCGGCTCCATGACCCATTCTTCCCATTGAGACTATTTGTGAGTGAGTGAACGAGTGAGTGAGTGAACGAGTGAGTGAATGAGTGAGTGAACGAGTGAGTGAGTGAACGGATAAATGAGGGAGTGAACGAGTGAGTGAACGGATAAATGAGGGAGTGAACGAGTGAGTGAACGAGTGAGTGGATGAGTGGATGGGGACTGCCAGGGCGGCCCAGGAGGAGGGGACAGACCCTTCGGTCGCTGGGCTCCCACGTGCGCTCTCTCCCGGAGATGCCTCCCCTGCAGCCTGAGGCTTGGTCCCCAGCAGCCAGCTCCGGCCGGGGTGCAGGCCCCGGATTTCCTCCGGGGGATTTCCTGCCTTCGAGTGGCCGCCAGCATTGCCCCCCCCCTCCCCGTGGGCGCACTCCTGCCACAGATGCGGGCCCGCCTGGGTGCAGCCGCGCATTCCCGTACACATTCTCGGCCCATTACCTCCCTGACTCCACAAAGACCCTCTCCCCGCACACACAGGCCGTCTTACACCGGCTCAGCTGCGGGGGGAGCTGCGGTCCCTCTTGGGACCCGTTTCCCAGCTGCCCCGTCGCGGCCCCGGGAAGGCCTGGGAGGGCCGTGTTTCCTGGGCAGGAGGCGGTAGCAGGTCCCAGGGTGACCTAATTTGCCTCCGGCCGGCCAGGGGGCCCCGGGGAAGGGCAGTGGCCGGGGTCTGTGTTGGCGTCAGGCAGTTGAGCAGCTTGGCATCTTCGGCGTGTTTTCTGGAGTTAAAATTAGTGTGTGACGTTTTAATGCGTGCAAAGCGCCGCTGCTCTGGCGAGTGACAAGCCCCTGTGCCGGGAGCTGCCCGGCTGCATGCTGAGGCACCATCTGAGACTCGGACGGTTGTAGCTCAGAGTAAGGCAGTGAGGGGGCAGAGGGCTGCGGTGCCAGAGCACACATACCCGGAGCGGCCAGATTGTGATGATCTCTGAACATTAGCACAATCATCTGACCACTCAGTGTGTATCCTATAGAATAAAAGGCTCATATGCAAATTGTCCCCTCAACCAGGAATTCTACCGCCCACGTCCCTAACCCCTGGCCAGGCTGGCCGGACCCCACCCATGCACGAATTCATGCACCGGGCCTCTAAATATTATACATTATATACACACACACACACACACACACACACATACATAATATATATTATACATTATATATATACACTCATATATATACATAATATATATTACACATTTTATACACACACACACACACTGAGTGACCAGGCTATTGTGTGGAGCCAGCGTGTTGCCCTCTGGGCACCGGAGTTTCTGCACAGAGAGTGTGTAGCTGCTCTCCAATGATGCCCAGAGTTCCCGGCATTTTACAACGCCCAGACGGACGGCCAGTTTCTCTAGCGGAGGGGCCTTTGCGGGTCTCTTTGCTTTATTTGGGGGGGGGGGGCAGGAAGACGAGGGGGCCATGCTGCCGTCTCCTCCCACTGACCAGGGAGTCTGAGCCTCAGACCCGAGCGATGTTCCCAGGAGGGAGGGGGCGTTCAGAACCACAGAAGCTCAGAGGGGGGGACTCTGGCTGCGGAGGTGCCTCCCGCCTCGCGATTGGGCTGGAGCCCGCGCCCACACGCCCGAGCTGCCGCCCCGCGTGCTTTTGCCCCGAATCGCGAGCCAGTTTCCCGAAAACTAAAGGCACAGGCCGGTGGCTGCGCCCAGAGGTGTCCCTTCTGAGCTCCGCGGCCTGCGGCTGCTCCCGCTCAGTCTCAGGGGGACTGGGTCTCAGGGGGAGGGAGCCGGGAGGGAGCAGGACAGCCGCCCGTCACCTGCGGGGATGGGTCCGCCTCCGGCCGAGCGGACAGGTGTGCAGCAGGGCCCCCGGGATGGTGTTGGGGTGAGGACAGCCCAGGGGGCGGGGGAGGAGGGCCCGGTGCCCCCGTTCCCCCCCACGCTCCGCCCGCCTTTCTCGGCGAGGCACCTGGTGAGACCGGGGCGCCCCACGTCCTGCTCCTCGTTATTGTGGTTCACCCCGCAGAATAAAGACGGTAGAGACCGCACCCCAAAAAAGAAGGGGACTCTCCCAGCCGCACGCCCGGAGCTGTGGCCGCGAGGAGCCGGCTCCTGCCCTGTGTGCCCGGGGCCCCGGGCCCTGGAGGCGCCGGGGAGTCACAGCCCCTGTGCTGTGCTGGGCAGTGCTCCGTGCTCCCCACCCGGTGCCGGTGCCGAGCGAGTGAGTCACGCCTCGGCCGCGCTGGGCCCGCCGTGTGGGAGGTCCCCGTGGCGGAGCAGGAGGCGAGGGAGGTTGGCTGGGCTGCCTCCGCTCGCCCTGACCTGTGACCTCTGACCTGTGGCCTCTCCGGCAGGTGCAAAACATGTCCCAGTCCATCGAGGTGCTGGACCGGCGGACCCAGCGGGACCTGCAGTACGTGGAGAAGATGGAGACCCAGATGAAGGGCCTGGAGTCCAAGTTCAAGCAGGTGGAGGAGAGCCACAAGCAGCACCTGGCCAGGCAGTTCAAGGTGCGTGTGCCCCGCCCCCTCCCAGGCGGGCGGGGTTTGCTGCCCTCGGGGCTCCCCCTCCCTCTAGAACGAGCGATGGGGGGCACACACCCTCCCTCCCCCCCCCCCCACCCCCCCCGCACAAGGCTCCCTCTCTGCTGTTCGTGGAGACAGGCAGCCGCCTGCTCGCCCCTGAAAGGGCGGCCCGGTTCCCAGCACCTGCTAGTGTCAGAGGCCAGGGTCCCGGGTCCGAGCTCCGGCCACGTGCCAGCTCCGCTGCTGCTGGGGCCAAGCCCTCAGCCGAGGCCCAGCTTCCCCGGTGAGCACCGTGCAGGGCACGGCTCCCAGGATGGTCCCGGGAAGAAAGAGAGAGAGACACCAACATCTTCCCCTCCTCCTCTCCGGGCAGCTCTGGATCTGACACTATACATACATACGTGTGAATATGTATGTATATGCACATACACGTATACACACTCCAGAGCAGACACGGCTGCCGAATTCCTAAATGCGGCAGTGACAGGCGCCCATTGAGGCAGGCGGCGTGTGGAGTAGGACGCCGCCCGGGCCTCAGTGAGCCGGCCGGTCACTCGGCCCGCGCGCCTGGAGGCTGCTGGCGGACGGCCTGCCCCGTCCACGCCGCGCCTCCCTCTGACGAGCTGGCGTGAGGCTCTTAAAGGGCCCCGTTCCCTAGACGCCACGGCGAGCTGACGGAGACACAGGTCTAGATCACGCGTGAGACACGCAGGCCTGGCCCGGGGAGGAGGAGGAGGAGGAGGAGGAGGAGGAGCAGGCGCTCTGGCCCGAGGCAGGCGGGAAGGATTTGGACCTGCCAGACCCGGAAGAGTTTGTGTCTCTCCGTCAAAGGCCAGCACTCCCTCCTCGGGGAGAGGGGGGAGGCAGAGTCCTCTCAGGAGGACGGGGCTCCCGCAGTCAGGGCCCCCGCAGCCAGGGCCAGCTCCTCTGGGAGCGCCACCCACTGAGCCACCTCCCCGGCCCCAATTCAGGGCCCTCGCCCTCGGCCAGGCTCTCATTGCCTCAGACCGGCCGGCGCCGTGTGCTGAGGGGCGTAGGTAACCGGCGAGGCCCATCAGACGAAGTGCGATTTTTTTTTTTTGACCGCGCCCCTATCTGTCTGTGCGTGGCTGTGTGTGTGAGGCAGGCCAGTGAGGTAGCTCTTCAACGGTCTTTCGTTTTCTTGCTTGCAGGGCTAACCTAAAAGCGTTTTTTCAGAGCCGCAGAGACTGAAGAGGCATGTACCCATGTTCCCATGACCGAGGGCCAGACGCTTTTTGCACCCTGCATTTTTGCTGCCCTTCCCCAACACTTAGCGCCATTTCACTCAGGAGTCCGGCCAGCACCCTCTTTTTTGCATGCGACCGTAGATGCATTTCATTGAACCCTTGTCAATGCATTTTTCTTTTCTTTTTTTGAAAAAGAAAAAAAAAACAAACAGGAAACGTTGTGTTATGTGACCTAACGCATGTAACCTTCAGATGTTGCATTCTACCTGACAATAAAGACCTTTTCCCAAAGACGCTGGTGTTCTGGAGACTGTTTCCTAAGCTCTGCCCACGCCGGGGCCTGAGGCAGCGGGAGCAGGCGGGCGCGGCCGGGCCCAGGCAGGGCGTGGCGAGTTTTTGCACGCATCGCACTGAACCCGGCTTATTTTGACCTTGCAGGCGATAAAAGCGAAAATGGATGAACTTAGGCCTTTGATACCCGTGTTGGAAGAGTACAAGGCCGATGCCAAATTGGTCTTGCAGTTTAAGGAGGAGGTCCAGAATCTGACGTCAGTGCTTAACCAGCTGCAAGAGGAGATTGGCGCCTATGACTACGATGAGCTGCAGAGCAGAGTGTCCAATCTCGAGGAGAGGCTCCGTGCGTGCATGCAAAAGCTAGGTAGGCCCGGCACCTGGGCGGGCTGGCCCGGGCGGTGCTGAGGCGGACCGCGCCCGCCGGCCTCCGAGGGAGCGTGGGCTGCAGGGCCGGGGCGGGCCCCTGGAGGAGCCTCGAGAGGGCGCAGGCTGCACCCCGGGGGCGCGCGGTCCCACCCGGGCCGAGGCCGGCCGCAGACCCCCCGGATGGCACATCTGGAAAAACAGGAGGATGCTCGTTGTTGCAAACATCTGAGGAGTGTGTGTGTGTGTGTGTGTGTGTGTGTATGCCCGTGTGTGTGTGTACGCCCATGCGTGTGTGTGTGTGTGTGTAGGGGTGAGATCTGAGGACATGAGTGGTTTAGGGCTGGAAACTGCTCTCTGACTCCCTCCAGGGTGAGGCACTGCCCGGCCTGGACGAGCCAGTTCGGTCCCGCCGGGCGGTGACCATGCGTCTGCGTAGGGGCAGCGTGAGCTCTCATCCGTGACCAGACACCCACTCGCCTCACCGACCTTCCCGTTAGTTGCTTTTACAAGTCTCTTTTCCATACTGGCCCGAGGATATTTTCCCCACTGATTTTTTTTTTTTTTTTTTTTTTTTTTTTTTTAGAGAGAGTAGAACGGAGGAGGGAGAGGAGAGAGAGAGAGAGAGAGAGAGAGAGAGAGAGAGGAAAACCTGGATGTGAGAGAGGCACACCAATCAGTTGCCTCCCACACTCCCTGATGGGGACCTGGTCGACCTGAAACCCATGTCCATGGCCTTGACCGGGACCTGCAGTGGTCGGCGTGCGGGCCGGCGCTGCAGCACGGAGCCACGGCAGGGCCTGCCTTACCATCTCAGCGTGTCCGTGCCCGAGCCCACTGAGTCAGCTCGGCTTTCAGACTTTCCTCCTCAACATCCGCTGGCCCCCTGGGTGCAGCTCACAGCAGAGGCTGCCCCTGCGCAGTCCTTTCCAGAGTAACTCCGGGGACTTCCTTCCATCCTTGGTTTAATCCGATGTCCTTACTTCGCTTTTTATTCACCTCCCCCCCGCACACACACACACATATGCACACACATGCACACACATGCACACACATGCATGCACACACACTCACACACGCACACACACTCACGTGCTCCGAGTACCTTGTTAGAAATGTAAGAATCCCCTAAGAGTCGGTGCTGGTGCTGTTGTCCGTGAGGGATGGAAAGGTGCCGAGGGCGGGGGGTGGAGTCAGCGGACACTCTGACCAGGTCCTCGAACCCAGGGCTGCCGGAGGCACCGTGCACATCGCCTGCTCCGGAGAGAGCTGGGGGGGGGCCTGAACCGCAGTGACGCTGGCTCTGCTCGCTCCCCCGGGGCATGGTTGCGGGGTTCCTGCCCGGAAGACCCCGAGCTCACTGCCACCTCTCCCCCCAGACCCTCCCCGGTCCCTCGGCTCTGAGGAGCCTGACGGCGGGGAAGGGCCCCAGATAAAGCCTCCGCATTCTTCAATGAGCAGATCCCGGAGCAAAAGGGAACTTCAGAGCCAAGGCCTTTGGGGGCGGGGTGCCCGCTGCCCGCCTGGTGAGAAGCTCTGAGCTCAGCCGATGGCGGCAGGTCTGGGTGTCACGTGGTCCCCGCAGGCTGCTGTGCGCTCCCTGGGGGCAGAGAGGATGACGAGGCCCCTGGAGGCCGGCTCTCCTCGCTGGAGGGCAGCCTCCTGACTCACCTCTGGTTTCCTTTTTCCCTAACGCCCTTGGTGTCAGAGACTGCGGAGTGGGGTCTGCAGGGGGGGGAAGGGGGGGGAACGGGGGTCTGCGGGGGGGGGGGACCGGGGTCTGCAGGGGGGACCGGGGTCAGCGGGGGGGGACCGGGGTCTGCAGGGGGGACCGGGGTCAGCGGGGGGGACCGGGGTCTTCGGGGGGGGCGGGGTCTGCGGGGGGGACCGGAGTCAGCAGGGGGGAGCCTGGGTCTGTGGGGGGGACTGGGGTCTGCGGGGGGGGCCGCGGTCAGCAGGGGGGCCGGGATCTACAGGTGGGGCCATGGTCTGCACTGAGCCAGCACCAGGCGGATGGGGATGAACCAGCTGAGAGATGGGCTCGGGTGGCGGTAAGCTGGTGACCGCCATGTGACTCCTGAGGCGGTGACCAGCGGGGCATCAGCCTCTTCGTCTGCGGGAGGGTGGGGGTCCCTGTGCTGGGGGACGGTGCGACACCAGGGTGTCATCTACATCCCTCGCTCCGGCCCGGCACAGCGGGAGGGGGGAGGGGGCAGGAGGGTAGATAGATGATAGGTGATTAATAGAGATGATAGATGACAGATGGTAGATGATGGGTAGAGACAGACAGAAGGACAGGTGACAGACAGCCGGCCGATAGGTGAAGGACAGACTGAGCTGGCGGCCGCCTGGCGGGCAGAGCCGCTGCCGCCGCGTCCCCTTCTCGGCGCCCCTTCAGCTCGGGAGCCGGGGCCCTGGCGCCCTGGCCGCCAGCAGGCGCCTCCGCAGTGGGCTGTGCGGGCGGGGCCCGGGGAACGGGCCGGAGCAGCCTGCGTGGCACCCGCTGACCTGTCCGGAGGCCGCCCCTCCTCCGCCCGCTCCTCCGGGGCTGGTGCAGTCTGACGGGTGCCCAGTCCAGGCACAGGGCGTGAAAGGCACCTGCACGGGCACTTCCCCAGCCTCCTCGCCCCCCCCAGCCCTCCCCCCAGCCCCCCCTCCCTCCCCCACACGCCCTGGGCGCTAGTGATGAGAGAGGGACGCTTCCTGACCACGTGCCAGCCGCCCCCGCGGCTCAGCCATGGGCTACGCCTGTGGGTCCCCGAGGTCCTGGACAGAGACCCTCAGCCCTGCCCTGAGCCTTAGCCTGCGGCCCGGTTCAGGGCTCCTCTGGGGTGGGCGGGGGAGGGGGGAGGGGACCTCGGAGGGGGCAGAGCTGGGCTGGCCCTGCTTCCAGTCACACCTGCCCTGGGGGTCACACCTGCCCTGGGGGTCACACCTGCCCTGGGGGGGTCACACCTGCCCTGGGGGTCACACCTGCCTGGGGGGGGTCACACCTGCCCTGGGGGGTCACACCTACCCTGGGGGTCACACCTGCCCTGGGGGGGGTCACACCTGGCCTGGGGGTCACACCTGCCCTGGGGGGGTCACACCTGGCCTGGGGGGGTCACACCTGCCCTGGGACCCGTTTCCCCGAGGCGGCTGCTCTGCTTCTGAGCAGCCACGGGGAAGGCCCTCGAGAGCAGGACGCAGGGACCGGCCACAGCAGCCTGACGGCCCTCACTGAGGTGAACCCCGTGTTCCCCGCACCTGTCTGGACTCAGAAACAAGAATAACTGGGCCTCCGCTGAGCCGGGGAAGCTCCCTTTGCCTCCCGCGGTGCCCACCATCCCCCGGGGCGTGTGGTCACTGCCTCTGCCACACGCTGTCCTCTGCGGGCACAGATGGCGAGGCCGCGGGCTGGCGAGGACTTCCTGAGGGAGGGGTAACTTACCTCTCAGCGCCTGGGAGAGGAGTCGCTCACACGTTCATTCCCTCATTCACTCACTCATTCACTCACTCACTCATTTATTTACTCATTCATTCGCTCACTCACTCATTCACTCATTCACTCACTTACTCACTCATTCACTCATCCATTCACTCTGGACCAACCCAGCCTAGTCTTGGGGAGACAGAAAGGGCAACAAGCTTCTTGCTTGGGACCCGGAGACCCACAGCGATGTCTGCCCAGGATGTGTGGGAGGACGGAGGTGGGCTCGGAGGGAGAGGCCTGGAAAAGACGTCCGTTGGGAAGAGGGGCATTCCCGGGGCGGGCAGCTGGAGCAACCCTGTGGGGGCCAGAGTGGGCGGGCCAGGCCTGGAGCCGGCCTGCGCTGACCCCCCTCATACCTCCGAGTGTGATGCGGAGGCAGAGTGTGTCCTGGTCCCTGGGCCAGGCCTGGCAGGAGGGAGGCGGACAGAGGCCACCTGGCCCCAGTGAGGCCCCCGCCTCCCAGCTCAGGGCCCGGACACCACTGCCCTGGAGGCCGGCGGAGGGCGGTCACTCTGCCCGCCAGCGGCTGTGCGCACAGTCAGCGTCGGCGGGACAGGTGTGTGGCTCAGCGGGGCCATGGAGGCCACGGGCTGCAGGGAGGGCAGCACTGAGGACGCCCCCTGGTCTGCAGTCTCCACCGGGAGGCCCGTCAGGAGGAACCAGGGGTGAACGGCTGTCTCACTGCCATCCCAGGCGGGAGCGGGGGGCCCTGCAGCCACGGGGGCCGGGAGCGGGGGCCCTGCAGCCACGGGGGCCGGGAGCGGGGGGCCCTGCACCCACGGGGGCCAGGCGGCCGGGAGCGAGGGGACACTGCACCCACGGGGGCCAGGCGGCCGGGAGCGAGGGGACACTGCACCCACGGGGGCCAGGCGGCCGGGAGCGAGGGGACACTGCACCCCACGGGGCCAGGCGGCCGGGAGCGAGGGGACACTGCACCCACGGGGGCCAGGCGGCCAGGAGCGAGGGGGCCCTGCACCCACGGGGCCAGGGCGGCCGGGAGCGGGGGGGGACGCTGCACCCACGGGGGCCGGGAGCGGGGGGCCCTGCACCCACGGGGGCCAGGCGGCCGGGAGCGAGGGGGCCCTGCACCCACGGGGGCCGGGCGGCCGGGAGCGAGGGGGGCCTGCACCCACGGGGGCCAGGCGGCCGGGAGCGAGGGGGCCCTGCACCCACGGGGGCCAGGCGGCCGGGAGTGAGGGGGCCCTGCACCCATGGGGGCCAGGCGGCCGGGAGCGAGGGGGCCCTGCACCCACGGGGGCCAGGCGGCCGGGAGCGGGGGGACGCTGCACCCACGGGGGCCGGGAGCGGGGGGCCCTGCACCCACGGGGGCCAGGCGGCCGGGAGCGAGGGACACTGCACCCACGGGGGCCAGGCGGCCGGGAGCGAGGGGGACACTGCACCCACGGGGGCCCAGGCGGCCGGGAGCGAGGGGACACTGCACCCACGGGGGCCAGGCGGCCGGGAGCGAGGGGACACTGCACCCACGGGGGCCAGGCGGCCGGGAGCGAGGGGGCCCTGCACCCACGGGGGCCAGGCGGCCGGGGAGCGGGGGGACGCTGCACCCCACGGGGGCCGGGAGCGGGGGGCCCTGCACCCACGGGGGCCAGGCGGCCGGGAGCGAGGGGCCCTGCACCCACGGGGGCCAGGCGGCCGGGAGCGAGGGGACACTGCACCCACGGGGGCCAGGCGGCCGGGAGCGAGGGGGCCCTGCACCCACGGGGGCCAGGCGGCCGGGAGTGAGGGGGCCCTGCACCCATGGGGGCTGGCACCAGGCCTGACCGTGCTCTGTCTTGCAGCCTGCGGCAAGCTGACAGGCATCAGCGACCCCGTGACCATCAAGACGTCCGGCTCCAGGTTCGGGTCCTGGATGACCGACCCCCTGGCCCCCGAGGGCGACAACAGGGTGAGTGCCCTCGCCGTCCAGGGCCAGGCGGCCACGCCCTTCCCAAGGCTGGCTCTCGGGCCCGGGCTATCACCACGGATGGAGTTCCTTCTTCCCCAAATAAGTGGGAGCGCCTACTGTGCGCCTCTGGCTGGGAGAAAGCGGTGGAAGGCAGGTGGCCCGCAGACCCACAACCCGGGGCACCCAGGAGGGCTGGGGGAGCCTTGCCACCCACAGGAGACTTGGTGCCCCAGGCTGTCGCTTCCGCACCCCCTCCCTGGCCGGTCCCCAAGCCGGACGCTTCTGTCTGGGGGAAGATAGCTCTGTCCTCTTCTGAAATGTGCCTGAGCCTCTAGCTGGTTTCGCTCAGTGGATAGTGTCTGCCGGTGGACGGAAGGGTTCCAGTCAGAGGTGTGCACCTCGTTGCAGGCTGGGTCCTGGCCCTGGTCGGGCCACGTGCAGGAGGCACCTCTCATCCGTCTCTCTCTCTTCCCCTTCCTTTCTTTTTCTCATTCTCACCCGAGGACATTGTCCCATTGACTTTTAGGGAGAGTAGGAGAGAGAGGGAAGGACAGAGAGAAACATCGATGTGAGAGAAACACATCGATTGGTCGCCTCCTGCACGCGCCCCAACTAGGGTCCGGGCCAAGGAGGGGCCTGTAGCCAAGGTCCATGCCCTTGACCGGATTCGAACCCAGGACCCTTTGGTCCACAGGCTGAGGCTCTGTCCACTGAGCCCAACCAGCCAGGGCTCCCCCCTGTGTTTCCACTCTAAAAATCCACGGGAAACCATCAAGTGAGGATTAACCAAAAAAAAAATATGTGCCCTGCGATGTGGGAGGGGGCGTGGCACGCTCCGTCCCCGCCCTCCTCCGGGTCCTGGGGGGCGGGGGGAGGCCCCGGCTGCTCACGCCGCCCCGCCCGCAGGTGTGGTACATGGACGGCTACCACAACAACCGCTTTGTACGCGAGTACCGCTCACTGCAGGACTTCATGACCTCGGACAACTTCACGTCGCACCGGCTGCCGCACCCCTGGTCAGGCACTGGCCAGGTGGTGTACAACGGCTCCATCTACTTCAACAAGTTCCAGAGCCACATCGTCATCCGCTTCGACCTGCGCTCGGCCAGCGTGCTCAAGCAGCGCAGCCTGGACTACGCCGGCTACAACAACATGTACCACTACGCCTGGGGCGGCCACTCCGACATCGACCTCATGGCGGACGAGAGCGGGCTCTGGGCCGTGTACGCCACCAACCAGAACGCCGGCAACATCGTGCTGAGCCGGCTGGACCCGGTGTCGCTGCAGGTGCTGCGCTCCTGGAACACCAGCTACCCCAAGCGCAGCGCGGGCGAGGCCTTCATCATCTGCGGCACGCTCTACGTCACCAACGGCTACTCGGGCGGCACCAAGGTGCACTACGCCTACCAGACCAACGCCTCCACCTACGAGTACATCGACATCCCCTTCCAGAACAAGTACTCGCACATCTCCATGCTGGACTACAACCCCCGCGACCGCGCGCTCTACGCCTGGAACAACGGCCACCAGGTGCTGTACAACGTCACGCTCTTCCACGTCATCCGCTCCGACGAGCTGTAGGCCGTGGCCGCCGCCGTGGCTGCCGTGGCCGCCGCCGTGGCTGCCGTGGCCGCCCGCCCGCGCGGCCTCCTGCCCCGCGGCCGCCAGTGACGCTGGCGACACGGACCACCGGAGGCGGGACCCCCGCCCACCCGCCCGCCCGCCCGCGTGGCACCGGGCACGGCCTCCGCGTCCCCCCGGCTCGGGCAGGAGGGCCACGGATTGGGGGAGAGACGCCCCACACCCCAACTTTGCAGCTGGAACTGCAGCCCAGGGCTCCCCCCGCCCGTTCCCGCTCCAGCCCCCCTTTTCGGTCAAATGACGTGCCAGAGGAGGACGGCGTGTCCGGCCGGCCCCCGCCAGGACGGCCGCCGCCCCATCGCGTGGACGGTCCTCAGGCGGGGGCGGTGCCGGCGGGCGGCTCCGAGTGCCCGGCTCGGCGCCCGGAGGCTCGGCACCGGCTCCCCCAGCGGGTCCCCTCCCGGCGCCGCTCCGGCCGCGTGTCGTGTCTCAGATCCCCTGCGAGGCCCCGGGGCCGTGCCCAGGCCCGTGCCCAGGCGCGTGCCCACGGCGGCGGCCGGGCCGGGCGTGTGTGCCGGTGCCGCCGCGCCCGCCGTAGTGTGTTGTGCCGTGTGTCTCGTCCTTGAGGTGGTGCCTGTGGTGGTTTGCAGTGGGTGTCTCGTGCGATGCGTAGTCTGGCCCGTCCGCGGGCGGTTCCTAAAGAAAATAACCCTGTGTTCGCCCTGTAGAGAGAGAGCCAAGTTCGCGCCAGGAAGCGAGGGCGGCTCGTCCGGCCCGACCCCTGACCCCTGACCCCTGACCCCTGACCCGGGCCGGGAGAGGGTGCCGGCGGAGGGTGCGGGCGCCGCGGGAACCCTCCTCGGAGGACAGAGGGGGACTTGTGCTCTCGTTCCCTGAGGAACAATAAATGTAGTGGAGACGCGCGGCTCCTGGTGGTGTTTGAGGGCGATGGGGAGGGTCCCCCTGCCCTGAGCGACAGTGCACACGTTCCCTTTGGGTCTCTGACCACCTGCCCCCCCAAAACCTGGAGCCTCCCCTGCCCGAGGGCAAATGGGAACCAAGGCTCCCCCCTCACCCACACCCGCACCCACCCCCCACCCCCCATCTCTGGGCAGGGAGCCCCCAGGAGCAGGCTGCCCGGCCGTGGGGCTCAGTGGTGAGGCTGCACCAGCGTGGGACCAGCCGGATGACACGGAGCGGTCAGGTGCCTCCCACTTCCTGCTCAGACGGCCTCGGAGGAAATGGCCCGAGTCCCTCCCTCTGGGAGCTGGGGCGGGTCCCGCACAAGCCCGGGTCCGGTCCACGGCCCCGAGGCCACCGCCCGCCCCCACATGCCAGGGCCTGTTGGGGGGGGGGGATTCCCCTCTCGGCGGGGCTGTTGGGAGGGCGTTAAGCTCATAGGAAGAACGGTCCCCCACAGCAGACAGAGCAGCCGGCCCACCTCGGAGCCCCCCGACGCCAGGAACGGGCATGCGGCTGATGGTGGGACCCCTGGGGTGAATTTTCTTTATTAAAAGTTTGGCCCAGAATCGAACTCTCACCCCTTCCTGGTGCCCGGGGTGGGTGGGGGGGGCGGGGGGCGCGGCCGCAGCGCGTGGCTCTCAGCTCTGGAGCGGCCGGGCCTCGAGGTGTCCCAGGCGGCCCGGACGGGTCCCCTCCAGTCCTGGCACGTCCCCACGCCGTGTGGAACGGGGGGAGGCCCAGCCTGTCCGAGTGGCGGGAGGAGGCTGCTGTGTGCTGGACGGTCCCTCTGGGCCGGAGTCGGGGGCACCTGGCACGGGCCCGGCTCCTTCTGGGGGAGGGAAGGCCCCGGGCTCATCGCCGACAGCGGCACACGGGCCGGCTGTGCTCACCCCCGGCCACGCCAGACGCCAGGCCACGCGGTGCAGCGGGAGGTGGGCACCCGCCCCCCGCACCCTCCCCCGTCCCTCTGACTCCCGCTCACAGGGGCACAGGCTCCTGCCCTCAGACGGGGACTCTCAGGGGCTGCGCTCCCTCCGAGAAAGAGGGTCCACGTCCACGGGTGGCGGGCCGACGTGGGGATGGGCGGAGCCACTCTGGTCCCGTGGCCAGGCCTCGGGGTCCGGCTGCTGTCGCCGGAGCAGCGGTTTCTGCAGACGGCGGGCTTGCCTGTGGGGCTGCGCACGGCCGAGACTGGCTGTCACCCCCTTCGCCCGAGGAGGCCCCGTCTCCCCCAAGGACGAGCGCGGTTGGGAGAGGCATTGGAGGAGCTCGGCTCTGAGCCCTGCTGGAGGCTCCGAGACTCCGACTCTCAGGGGAGGGCCCGTCCGAGGCAGCTTCGGGGGTCCCGGTGCCGGCTCCCCCTGTTCACGGATGTCACACACGCGGTCCCCGCAGCGGGCCCGGCCAGCACCAACCGGGGGCCCTGGCCCCGCCGCCCTCCCGCCCGCGGCCCCGCACACACGCGGGCTCCAGCGGGTGAGTCACCGGCCGCTGATTCACCGCACGGCGGGCGGCGGAAGGTGCTGGAACGGGAGCCCAGTGAGGGTCTGGCTCGTCCTCCGCCCGATGCTGCCGCCGAGGGGCAGCCGGGGAAGCGGCGTGGCCAGGGAGGCCGAGGGCTGGCGTCCGCTTCTGCCCACTGGTGGGGGGCTGGCAGGCAGGGGGCTCCCCTTGGCCAGGTGCCCTCCATCCTGCCGCCCCCCCAATCAACACACAAGCACACGTGTATACCCGTGAACACACATGCCACACACGCACACCGGCTGATGTTAAGCCTGAGCAGCGGCCGGTGGGCAGGCTGCAGAGGCCACGCCTGTGGGTGAGCCCGCCCTGCACAGCGGGAGCGGCCACGCGCCCGCCCGCTCGGGGCCACGGCTGCCGCCCGGGCCCTGCCTGCCCACACCGCGGCATTGTGGGAGGGAGGGCAGTCACATGTGACGTCCTGTGTGTCTCTGCAGCTCACCCCACCTGGGCCTCAGCTCCCTCCCTGCCCCAGCCTGCAGGAGGGGCTCAGAGACACGTGGCGATGCTGGGGCACCCCCAATCTGGGGGCGGGGTCACCAGGCTCCGGGGGTCCCAGCCCGGGTGGAGAGCCTGTGCGCCCTCAGCGCCTCCTGCCTGGGCCCTGCCCTGAGCCCTGCCAGCCGCCCACTGTGAGGGTGGCCCAGAGGCCGTTGGCCCGCACAGGTCCGCACGGCCAGTGAGTGGGCCGAGGTTTGCCGATGGAGGGCCTGCTGAGTGGCGGTCTGTCATGTGCCCCCCAGGATGCAGGTCTGTCAGTGTGCCCCCCAGCACCTCCTCTCCCCCTCTCCAGCCAGGCGAGAGGGAGCCCCGCCCAAACCAGCAGCTGGCGGCCAGAACAGAACTACTTTCCGCACTGATCCGGCGAAGGGCTGAGGGGTGGCGGGAGCCATGTTGCCGATGTTGCCGCTGATGGAGCCGGCTGTTCCTGGAAGGCCCTCTCCGCACCTCCCCTGGAGGCCGGCCATGGCGCCCAGCCCCGGGGGTGGGGAGACATGCAATTACAGCTTCTGCCGCTCAGCTGCGGCCTGGCATGGACGTGTGCGGCTTCGGGAACGGCGAACGGCAGCCTGAGAGCCCCCCGTCCTTCCTCCCGGGAGGCTGTCCGCCCTCCACGCTGGTCCCTGCAGACCCACTCTGCTCCCGGGCACCTGCCAGTGCCCTCTGTCCGCCTGGGCTGCTCCCTGACCGGTCCCGCTGTTGACAACATGGCGGTTTGCACTCAGAGAACACCCAGTTTCAGAGCCCCTCCCCGTCCGGTTCCTACTAAACCATCTGTGGTTCCCATTCGCTCAGGCCTCCTCCTCCTCCCACCCAACCCTGCCGCCCACTCTGCTGCTCACACCTTAAAACGACACACGTGCGCCCACGGGTGCCTCTGCCCACATACCGGGCAGAAGCCTCACGGTCGGGCTGGCTGTCCGCTGCTGGCGTGTTCGCCCAGTGTCCACGCGGCGTCTCCCACCCGGCAGCGCCGTCTGTCCTGCCCCTGCAGAAGGCCGCTCCCGGGAGGAGCCCTCCTGCGCCCCAGCCGGGCTCTGAGCCCACAGAGTGGGCGCCCCGGGCCCGCACACAGTGGGCGCCCCGGGCCCGCACACAGTGGGCACCCCGGGCCCGCACACAGTGGGCGCCCCGGGCCCGCACACAGTGGGCGCCCCGGGCCCGCACACAGTGGGCGCCCCGGGCCCGCACACAGTGGGCGCCCCGGGCCCGCACACAGTGGACGCCCCGGGCCCGCACAGAGTGGACGCCCCGGGCCCGCACACAGTGGGCGCCCCGGGCCCGCACACAGTGGGTGCTCTGTGAGCCTCCAGGGCAAACGGAGGAGCTGGTCCCGGGGAGGCCTAGCGGGGAACCGGCCCATGCTGGGAACAGACCTTCAACACGCCCACCGCTCCCCCCTCCAATGGACCGGGTCCCGGTGCCCGCTGAGCCGAGCCCTGGGAGCGGGCAGGGGCTGCACACGGCTCTCACTCGGGAGACAGGGAAGTATTGGGGCCTCGGGGTTCCCGGGCGTCCAGCTGGGATTCTGGGTGGATCTCGGCTTATCCTACATATTCTGCCTCTCAACATGAAGAGGCGAGTTTCTCAAAACGAGGCCCGTGTGCTCAGCGGCTGAGCACTGACACAGGAACCAGGAGGTCGCAGTTCTATCCACGGTGAGGGCACGTGTTCGGTGGTGGGCTCACCCCGCGTGGGGCATGCAGGAGGCAGCTGACGGCCACGTCCCTTCTTATCCATGTTTCTCCCGCCCCCGCCCCCGCCCTCGCCCCCTCCCTTTCCTTCCCTCCCCCTCCCTCCCCCTCCTTCCCTGTTCCTCTCCCGCCCTCTCCAAGAATCACATTAAACACAGTGGGTGCTCTGGGCCCGCACAGAAAGGAGGGGGCCCCAGGCCCCTGAGCGCTTGGGGGTGCGGCTGCCACACGCCCTCTTTGCCTTCACTCCAGACACCCCACCCCCCACCCCGATGGGGAGGAAGCCAGCGGCTGCTCCCTGGGCCCCGAGCGCGGGGGCTCCTGGGAGCCAGGCGGCAGGCCCAGGCCCGGCCAGAGTAATTCTGAGTGAGAATTACTCAGAGCAGCCAGACGCGAGGTGAAGGACGGGGCGGCCGGCGGACACAGACGCGGAGCAGATCCCGCCGGAGCGAGCGGCATCGGCATCGGGTTGGTCTCCAAACAAATCAGGGTGAGTTATGGCAACGTTGTTCCATTAGCCGCCACCGGCGTCTGCAGGACAATAGTCACAACTGCCTCCCTGCGAGCGGGCCGGCCTCGCTGCTCCGCGGGCTCGGCGAGCTGACGTCCGCCTGTGACACACGGCGGTCCCCAGGCCTCGCCGTCCGGCGCACCGAGCGCCCAGGGGACCCCTGATGAAGTCACTCCACCTCGCAAGCAGCCCGCCCTGGCCCCGCCCAGCCTCTGGGCAGCCAGCACTGGGACCCCCCACCACCACCACCTGCCCTGGCCCCACAAGCCTCTGGGCAGCCAGCACTGGGACCCCCCACCACCACCACCACCTGCCCTGGCCCCGCCCAGCCTCTGGGCAGCCAGCACTGGGACCCCACCACCACCACCACCACCTGCCCTGGCCCCACAAGCCTCTGGGCAGCCAGCACTGGGACCCCCCACCACCACCACCACCTGCCCTGGCCCCGCCCAGCCTCTGGGCAGCCAGCACTGGGACCCCCCCCCCACCACCACCACCTGC